AGAGGGGCTAAGAGGATTAAAGATTCATTGATTAATATTGTGAATGAGTGGTTGATTGGCACTTTGAACATGTAAAAGCAACTGGTTTTGCAGAGGAGATTTCAAAGCTTGCTTGCTTTTTTAATCAGTCTTTTGAATATTGCAAAGACTTGTCATTTGTTATATTCCTCATTAATTCTGTACGTAGTGAATACTGAAATAGTAGCAATGGAGAATACAAGGTAGCATAGAAAGGGAATGGAGGTAATGGAAAGGATACAGAAGGGGTATTGGAGAGGAGGGAACAGTAAGAGAACATGAGAAGGCATGGGGATACGACAACATAGGAAGGAGGAATATGAGGGGATATCGACAGCTGACTTACAACTTTCTTACAACATCAGCCTTTGGTACAAAACTTTCCTATAAAAAGCTTTCTGATTCCTCAGCATGCTTCCCTCAAGGTTCAAGACTAGTATTGCTGTTCTCATATGCATTCAAATCCCATCAATCACGACATAAAACGTGAAAGATAAAATTCAACCTTCTCCTCAGCCTTTAATGGCAACCGTGTTATCACTGATGATGTGTGGGGAGTCACAACTGACACATTTCCCAGCCAGGGGTAGATGGTGTAGGTCTGCAACGTGGGGTAAATTTGAATATCCAGTCTCACACACCTAATTTTACCCATTCCTGACTCAATTAAGGACAGGGGCAGCTGGGAAAATCTGACCCAAGGCTTCTGGAAAGAAACAGTTTGAGATGTTTACAACACTTTGATGATAAATTATGCCTGTATTAAAAAGATGTGATGTGTAATTTCCCTGAAGGTACATATAACATTAAAAAAATCTCCTCACAACACTGAGTTTCCTGAAGCTTGCAACCACATCACACCACCATTGTAACCTTGTGTCCACCACATTTCTGGTGAATTAATGATTGTGCTATGAAAGTAGCTCTGAGGAAAATCCTGAACTTACATTTAACATTACGTTTAAAAATACTGTAATGTATTCACACCTATTGGAGAGCAATATTATTGTATAGCATCCAGCAGTGATTACAATAATTGTTCATTTTCCTTTTTATTGAGAGAGTTTTTCTGACAGAATGTTCTTTTCTGGTGAGGCCTGTTGAGTATGGAGGATGAATGATCAGTTTGTCAAGCTGTCCTTGAGACCATTTGACAAAGATATCTCTATTTTGTTATACAATTTGGAGATTTGAGCAATGCTAATTGTTGTTAAATTTTCATTTAGAACTCTTGCCTGAATTTTACTTAACCACCTTCAACATTCATTCCCTTCACCACAAAGCAAAGTTGTAGCAATCTGTACCATCTAAACAATATGCTGCAATAACTCACCAAAACTCCTCTAACGACACATTCCAAACCCATGACCTCAAGCATCTGGAAGGGAAATGGCATCAGATGTATGGGAGCATCACCACCTCTAAACCACCCTCCATCAGCTTCACTGGCACAATCCTAGAATACTGTCCTGTTGTAGGGCATGCTCTGTGCTGCTCATGGTGAGGGTTGCTGCCACTATCCTCCTCAAATGTAGAAAGCTTCAGGGCCTGCTTCGCCTAATGATGTAGAGGAAAATTTCTTCTTGGTCTAACTAGAAAAGTCTGTTGTGTTAATAAGGTATAGTTTATTGCACATTAGCAATGAATTACATGTTACATTGATATAAGACCATAACATAAAGGAGCAGAATTAGGCCATTTGGCCCTTCGAGTCTGCTCCACTATTTTATCCTGGTTGATATGTTTCTCAGCCTCATTCACCTGCCTTCTCTCCATAACTCTTGATCCCTTTACTAATCACAAACCTATCTATCTTTGTTTTAAATACACTCAATAACTTGGCCTTCACAACCTTCTGTGACAATGAGTTCCGCAGATACACCACCTTTTGGCTGACAAAATTCCTCATCATCTGAGTTTTAAAGGGTCATCCCTTCACTCTGAGGCTGTGCCCTTTGGTCCTAGTCGCTCCTACTAGTGACAACGTCTTCTCCATGTCTAGTCTATCCAGGCCTCTTGGTATTCCGTAAGTTTCAATCAGAATACCCCTCCTCCTCCTTCTAAATTCCATCGAGTACAGGCCCAGAATCTTCAACCAATCCTCATATGACAAGCCCTGCCTCATTGGGATCATTTCTGTAAACCTTCTCCGGAACCCCTTCAATGATAGCACATCCTTCCTTAGATAAACTGCTCACAATATTCCAAATGCAGTTTGAACACAGCCTTATACAAGCTCAGCTGTATATCCCTGTTTTTGTATTCTAGTCATCTTGAAATGAATGCTAACATTGCATACACCTTACTAACCACCAACTGAACTGGCATGTTAACCTTATGAGAATCCTGAACCGGGACTCCTAAGGCCCCTTGTGCTTCAGATTTCCAAAGCCTTTCCCCATTTAGAAAATAGTCATGCCTTTATTCTTCGTATCACACACTTCCCCACATTGTATTCTGTCTGCCTCTTCTTTGCCCACTCTCCTAGACCATTCAAATCCTTCTGCAGCCCCCCCACTTCCTCAACACTACTTGTCCCTCTACCTATCTTTGTGTCATCCATAAACCGAACAACAATAACTTTAGTTCCTTCATCCAGATTATTAATATATAATGTGAATAGCTTGGTCTTAAGACTGATCCCTTGAAACTTCGCTAGTCACTGGCTGCCATCTTGAAAAAGACCCCTAACTTGTTTGTTACCTCCTTAAAGCATTCTAACAGATTTTTCAGGCATTATGTCTCCTTGACGCAGCCCTATTTTACCATGCACTTCAAAGTACTCCACAATCGCATCCTTAATAATGGACTCTAAAATTTTGCCAAGACTGAGGTCAGGCTAATGGCCTATAGTTTCCTGTCTTCCATCTCCCTCCCTTCTTAAACAGTGTGTTACATTATCTATTTTCCAGGCTTCTGCGACCCTCCCGGACTCCAGTGATTCCTGAAAGATCACCACCAACGCCTCTACAATCTCCTCAGCTATCTCCTTTAGAACTCTGGGGTGTAGTCCATCCAGTCTGGGTGATTTATCCACCTTCAGACTTCAACTTCCCCAGCACCTTCTCCTTGGTAATGGCCACTACATTCACACCTGCCCCTGAGTCTCTTGAATGATATGATGTGCTATGATAAACATTATCACAGAGACTTTAAGGGGGATCAGATGTTATGTCTCATTTGTTCAGGATCCCAAATCTAAGGTCCAATTCTGTCCACAAGTCTGCAGGACATCATCATAATTGGTGGTTTTATTGGCTCGCCTCAGTATTAACCCTTTTCAGATTCCCATAAACATCTTCCTTACAGCAATATCTCCACCTAGGATCTACAGTGGTCTGAAAGGACAGCTCACCATCATCCTCTCATACAGTTAGGGATAGGCAATAAATGCTGACCTATCAAGCACACTCACATCCCATGAATGAATAAAAAAAACTCCTCTTACATTGCATTGTTTTTGTAGAGGGAAGAAATCTATTTTGATAGTGAAAAACAATCAAATAAATTAATATTATTTCTGCTATTTATAATCTGAGTAACATTTCACTTCAAGAATAAAAACTTAAGACCTATACAAAATAGTAATTTTCTGTCCGTAACTCCTATTTTCTCTCCCCCATTATGCTTTGTCTAACTGGTAAAGCAAATCACTGTTGTTATGAATGTTACAAAACTTGCTGTTTAGTTGATAACATCTTAGTGTTTTAGCATTGTAAAGTCAGAAAGTGTTTGGTTCAAATTTGCTCCAACCTCTTGCTCATCCACCTAGAAACATTTGTCTTTGAGTTCTTCTCCATCAACAGCTCAGCTGACTAATGAAACTGAGTCTGTGTGACAAGTAGCCAGGCAATTGAACTTCTGGCTACTGCTCGATGTGTGTTCAGCTGTGTGAGGTTAAGAGAATGCATTAAGAAGAGCGCTGAACTCCAAAATGACTTCACTGGCATCCATTCAGTACCACATGCTGACTAACACTATCGCTGCACTCTTTATCCTTCCGGCCGATGTCACCCGGGTCTATGCTAACAGTCTCACTAAAATGGCGTCTGATATGATTTGCAGTCATTCTGATCCCCCCCATGGCACCTAAGAAATGAGTGCAACTGATTTTGCACCCCACATGTTCATAAATATCGCATAAAGAGGCCGTTTATTTTCCCTAGAGGTGCGATAAAACTTCAAGCTCCTTTCCTGAACTTTCTGAGTTTCTCATTTCCTCACTACAAAAACAGCAAGGAGGATGGCCTGACTCAAACATGCTGTGAGGGATCATGCTTCCTGTTCTGTAGAAATAGTTGACCTGGTGAAACCAAAAGCCTATTATTTTCTTGCAATAAGGCTGTGTTATGAAATGTTTTGTTGTGAGGTTATAGCACAAGCCACTCTTAAATGAGCAGTAAATTACACAAGATATTTTTTACTGAAAAGTGTCATGGCAATGGAAATGGAAACATGATACATTGGTGAATTCAAACTTGACGGTTGGGCCTAAACCATATTAACACAAGGTTGAGTTTCCTTTGCTGAGTGTTAAGTCGTTACAGGCCTTGAGTAGAACAGGAATTCCTGTAATCTGAAAGAGAGAGCACAATAGTGGCCTCCTATACCTTTAATTTTCCACAATGTCTTTCTTAGTGAAGATCTTGTGCTGACATCAAGATGTAGTTGGGAAAGTAGGCAGTAGTCTACCCCAACCCTGTTTGGGCTCAGGAAAGCTTATCCACTGGTGTCCAGAGAAACAAAACAGTTCATTTTGCTAGCACCAGCAACCTGAGCTTTATTGAGCCCAAAATTTGCAGGGAGTGAAAGCTTTGAAGATAAAGATACCTTTTGGTTGAATAAATTGACTGATATTATGGAAAAAAATGAACACAAAACTATTGTTTTTTTTATTATTATGTTAGAAGAAATAGGCAAATGGCTTTTACCTTGATGTTGCACTTTTAACTTTGACTAACAAAGCAACTTCTTTCTGGCAGAACCTGATTTGAGTGGACTGCATGATCTGGAAGCCAAACACAAAGCTATTGAAGAACAGATTGAGAAAATCAGGAGAGTCCGAAGACATGACAGAGACAATGACTATAATATAGAAGTCCTTCTTGGAGTTGATGACACAGTGGTGCATTTTCATGGCATGGACCATGTGGAGAAGTATCTTCTGACTCTAATGAATATAGTGAGTATTATTTTTGGTAATCAGTTCTCTAAACAAGAGAACTTTCTTATTTTAGCAATGAGGGCAATTGAAAATTGTGTGAGCAAATTTGTGCAGTTTCAGACTATAGAAACATTGAGCAGTTATGCTGCTGAAAGAGGCCATTCAGCCCATCCTGTCTGATGCTTAAAAAAGAAAGAACAAAACCAGCTGCCTGTTTAATTGCAACCTCCAGGATCTGGTCTCTAGTCTTGCAGGTTACCGCACTTCAGGTTCCTTTTCAATGAGTTGAGAATTTCTGCCTCTACCACAAAACCAGGTAGTGAATGCCAGGCACCCACTGTGCTCTGGGTGAGAAAGGTTTTCTGTCTGATCCATTTAATCCTTTAATTAGTCACCTTAAATCTGTGGCCCTGATAATTGCCTTCTCCCCACGCGGAAACAGATCTTTTCTATTTACTCTATCTATGCCCGTCATCATTTTGTAGACATTAAGTCACTGTTCAGATTCCTCTGTTCTAAACCACTCCAGCCTGTCCAAAGCTTTTCTACAACCTCTTCCATCAGGCAGAAGATACAGAAGCTTGAACATGTGCGTGAGCAAGTTCAAGAACAGCTTCTTCCTGGCTGTTATTAGATGGATGAATGGACTCTGTAACTTCAAATAATGCTGATCTTGTTAATGTTGATCTTGCCTAGTGTATGTCCTGTGTGCTGTAACCTGAATGCCTTACTCTGTCCAAGATTTTTTTTCACCCTATGAACTGTATGTTCTTCTGCCTTAACTGCTCGCAAATAAAGCTTTTCACCGTACTTAGGTACACGTGACAATAAATCAAATCAAATCAAATCTTTCATCATAGCTGTCATTTCCAAACCCTGGCAAAATTCTTATAAATCGCGGTTACAGACGTTCTATCTCGACTCATAAGTTTCTACTTTACTGACTCTTTTTCAATTTTTTTGTTATGTACTGTGGAGACAACTCAATCAGTCCTTTCAACATATGCCAATGTGACATTTCCAGAGCCTAAACTTTCTTAGTTTGAATTACCTGCAGAATTCTGACCAAACCCTCTTGGTTTGGACATGTAGCCAACTAAACCATTGCGATGAGGTAACTTGTTCCCTGAACTATTAGTTGGGGAGAAGCTAAGCCTGTTCTAAACTCAACGTTGTTGTATTCCGAGCTGAATTTAGATACGAACTTGTTCAATCCCAAATATTCTGAACTGAAAACAAAACTGTGGCATGCTTATATGTTTACCTTCCCTGCCATAAACACAACAGCATAAACATCTTTCCATTAACACCATGTTGGTCTGCAGTCATCTGCTTTCTGATACAATATCGGATTTTATCACTTTTCTGAAGGGACTCTGACCTTTTGCTTTTAAAAGACAACCATTCATCTGCTTCTGTTTTGAAATCCAAAGTCCAAAAATGATATTAAGACCTATAAAGTATATACCCTTCATCAGCCTATACTCAAAATTCGGTGTGTCCTACTAAGTATTTTCTACAGTTCCAGCATTCAGTCCCTGAATTTTAATCTATATCCCATTCAGTAAAGGAAAGTATTTTGTATGCCTTTCAAGATTGAATTGCTATTATTTTTATAAGAAGCTGTATTATATATGGTCCTCATGCACTTGTTTTAAGTTACAATTTGAAAGTTATCTTTCCTCAATTTCAGTGACAACGTGCCCCCAGCGCTTCCCCCCACCCCCCAACTGCCCTTAACAGTCCACCATATCATTTTCTGGAACAGTGGGTGGTTGCTAACCAGTTTCCAGTCCACTGTCAAAACTACTTCCCTGCAGATTCCTTAGAGGTTCTCTGAGTTTAGTCATTCATCAAATTCTTCCTCATCCTCCCACTGATACTGCAAACTCATTCTGTGAGAAATTGTGGGGGAGGGGCTGCAAATCACTTCTTCTAATGCAGTATGGTTGCAAAGGATAGAGCTTCACCAAAAGGAGGTACGTCAGTAATTACTGGCCCCCTGCCCTGCTGCCAGAACTGTAGCAGACACACAAGGGACTCTGTCAAAAACAGTATTGGCCTCTCCTAATTTTCAGGCATGGGCTCATTTTAATAATCAAGGTAGCTGAACAGTGGAGAAAACTGTCCCAAGGTAGTGTTTACAAATTAAAGGGGCATCCTGCTGGTGTCACTACAGATGCCCCGTGCAGATGAAAGCAGCAATGCTAAAATGTATCATGTTTCCCTGTAGCTTGCATTGTTAGGTGATAGTGTGTCAAGCCTGTGGCCCACTACAGAGGCATATCTACTCTTAGCTGATGTTAATAGTGTGAACCTGGGAATGAAATAATTGGTGAAATCTCCAGGGCAGCCTGTGACCATACCCAGGCACACTTCAGAAGCTGGTGGAGGAAGACAGACCTGCAATGGTTTCCCTCCCATATCCACGGCCTACATTCAGATTTTGGGGCAACTATCATTTTTTTTAACCCCAGGTTCTGCCACTTCTTTCTGTGGACAATGCTTCAGGAATTTAAATGTTTATTTGCCCTACACCCTTGCAGTTGTCAATGTGGCTCAATGATAGTACTCTCAGCTGAGCTTCACAAGATTCATTGTAGGATTTCAGCACCTAGAGCAGTTGGTTTACAGAGACATAACAGATAAAACACTATACTTGACGGCCATCCCTGTTTGTTTAGGTACACTTCAATATTGAGTATTATCATAATATACTTTACATTTACAAATACTTCTGATTAATCACTCCGGCTAAAGCTGTCGAATGTTGTACCAAATGGTGTCAGTTACAGTAGCCTAGATGTTATTCACTATGTTAACAATTATGGTTTAACAGGGGTTGTTAATGTTGCTACGAAGTATACCATATACCTCTGTCTGCTGCATTGACTTATTCATTTTAGTCTTTACTGAAATAGCAGCCAAGAAAATGTCATGCAAACACAGAAAGTGTTCATCCACAATCATAAATAATGGTATTTTCTGCTGCAATGTGTGGTGGATTGTCATGAATAAACTGTACATTTAGTTCATTCTGTTTCCTCTGCTGGCTAGTTAGGCATGACAGCATAACATTTTTAATCCAATTTACTTGCTTACAGCCACCACTTATTCCCCACCCACCCTTTTACTTTTACATCCCATGTATCTAGTTTCCTTTTAAAAATCTTAATCGATTTTAGATCTATTGCTTTTTCATATTCTCTCAGCTTTTTGTTTGAAGTAGATTTTTAAAATTCTCTTTTGATCACAGCAGCTTGAATTAATAGCTGACAGTCTTCAATACTGCACTGTCTTTCCAAAAGAGATGCATTCCCCTAGTACCTTTGCAGTTCTCTGCATCGTATTAAAAAACTCAATCAGATCAGTCTTAATCTTCTCTTCTGCAGAAATGTCTTCCTACTTTACTGAGACTGTCATCATAATTAGATATTTTATCTGAGATCCCTCTTGGTGAAATGTTGCTGCACTTTTCCATGGTATGCCTATGCTCCATAAAGTGGACTGCTCAAAATGGAAATGTAGTCGGGATGCATGATCTTGATATTGTCCCACCTGCCTATCCCTCCCCAGGTTCTGGGTGACAGGACCTGTTTACTAATGCTCCCAGTGTACAAATTACAATGAGCTGGAAACATTGGCAGACAGGGCCAGAATTCTGAGCACCAGCAGCAAGTTAAAAGATGTTAGTTGTCTATTTTATTGATCTATTTACTTATCTTACTTTACTATCTTATTTTAATGATCTATTTTATTTTTGCGAGGAGCGGGCAGGGTAGCAATTAGGCAGAACACTTTGAATTCTCCTGCTGAAATACTGAAGAGAAGGTAATCCAGTTGTCCTTACTGATTGGTAAGGGCCAGATATGCAGGCAAAACATAAACTGGCTGATCCCAACTCAAGAGCAGGAAATGGACACTCAATAACTGATCATTGCACAAGTGCTCGGTTTTATTCTGGGGATAATTTGTAGCTTAATTATTTTGTGGTATTATGTCAATCATTGCAATGACCCTCATTTTTTAAATGCTGTGCAGATTTTGTTAGCAAGCATGTGTGCCTAAGTCCCCATATTGTTTTGTTCAATAAATATCTTCTACGTTTCTTCTACACTTCCATCTTCCATGATAGAATTCAAATTGTTACCTTATACTTTAATACCTGAAAGTGCATCTACACTTGTTTTCCAACTTAATCATCATATATTTGCGATTTTCTATTTCATCTTCACAATTCACTCTTCTCACTAATATAGGGATATCTAACTGTAATCTATTATATTCCTGTTTCAAGGTAATTTATGTAGTGAAAATCTGAGACCCTCATACTGATCTCTGGCAGATACCATTAGTCACTGCAAATCCAAGGATGTGCAGAAACATGTTTTGCCATTTGGTTTTTGCTTGTTCATGGAATGGATTTAAGAATGAGTTATGTTTAAGTGTTGCCTTTTAAAACAAAGAGAAGTTGCCCAGCGTTTAAAAAACCAACCTGCAGGTATTGAATTCTGTATAAAACCAAAAGGGCTGGCTTGTGGATTGTTGCAGCTCACAGTTTGCTTCTGTACAATTCTCTTCTGTAGAATCTTATTAAGTACCATCAGAAAATCCTATGCTTAGTATTCGTTAATTCTTAGAAAAGTTGCTAGAGGAGATTATTACATATATACTGTGCTATCACCTTGAAAGAGAATCACAGCATGGATTCTAGAAAAGAAAGCTCTGTCATACCAATTTAGGGGAATATTTTAAGAAAGTTACAGTGCTGATAGGTAATAAAAGCTCAACTGACAGTGTACATCTCCGCTTTCTAAAGATCTTTGATAAAAAGTGTTGTACGAAAGCCTATTAAGCAAAGTTGAGGCTTGTGAGATTGATAGGCAGAATTTTGGGGCTGTGCAGGAACTGATAATATTTGCATATTGAGAAGTTATTTGTGGGAAGCAGGGTACTGCTGGAATTGTAGAGAGACTATGTAGTGGCTATTGCTCTGTGTAATCTGTATTAACAATAAG